AGCCGGCTCAGCATAACCAACGGACCGCATCACGGGACAGCTCATTGGCAGCAGTAGACATACCTTCTTGTCTCCTAGCAGCAATTTTTACCTTCTGCCTGTGCTCTATGTTTATATGATACGGTGCTGTTCTCCACTGACAATTTCTAAGCGTTTGGGGAATATTTCGATGCAGTGTGACCACTACATAATGCCCCCCCCCCCCCCACACACACATTATACTTTCTGCATATCTGATTACTGTTTTATAGCATATTTATTAAGGCACTGAACATTAAAGTTGTTTACACTGATCTTTATACATAGATGGTGAGAATATGATGTTAAGGGGCAGGACGGGGCTCATTTTCCTTTGCACTGATTGGTGGATAGTTCTTTAAATAGTTGCTTTGTCTTGTCACATGCCTGATGAAGGGGTCCTGCGAGACTTTGAAATGTTGCTCTTGCTGTAACTATGTGATCGCCTATTAAAGCTTTGGACCCATACTGGAGATCTAGCCAGAGCCTAGACTTAAAGATAAGTTCACCTTTTCGGGCACAATTTCACTTTTAATAATACATAGAAGTGTTCGCCAATGCCATTTCTAGCCCAGCCATGCCAATGTTCTTTTCTCTCACTTACCTCATCCACAGGTGGTTTACCTTTTTTGTCAGTTTATTTAAATGTTTGAATAGGTTTTCAGATTGCATAATTTCCTACAATGATAGTTCAGCATTTACTTCCTGTAGGCCATCTCCCAGAAGTCTTCACTTCCTTGTTACAATACAGAAGAGGGTGTGATAGGGTGTGTTCTCTGGACCACACTTCCCGCATTACAAATACTACCTTCCTGCCAGCAGCAATGTAGTACAAAGATCTGTCCAAATTTATACCAGTTGAATAGATTGTTCAGGGTGTGTCCTCCCATTCCACAGTTCTGGTAAATCTAAAGGAAATTGTACAGAGATTGCATAGTGTATGGCCATCTTTATACAAATACATAGGAGGGAGTGGACGCAAACACTCAGGTGTCAGGTCGTGAAGACTCACATTCCTGAATGTGTTTTTTTGGAGCGTTTTTGGGAGCAGAGCACGGTGCATTACTGCAGTTTTTTGGTGTGCCTTTAACATGCAATGACAATACAAACACAATGCACATTTGCAGTGTGTTTCTGAAACACATGGCAAAGCACGCATTTTCTGTGTAGTCTGCCATGCATTCGGAAACACAGATGTGCATGGAGCCATCATTGTTCTGTGTAAACGCAATTTCACATTCAGGCCCCATTCACACCAACAGGAATGGGGGTGCACATCTTTTGGCTCATTTTTCCAGTGACACAACATAGGGCAGCCCGGTACTTTCAATGGGCTGTGCTACACATGACGAAGTAGCCCATGGGTCATTTTGGCATGATGCATGTTGCACATTTTTTTTACTGTGAGTTTTGCTGTATTTGTCGCCCGGTTTTCTGGTGGCAAAATGTGTGCTTGTTTCTGTCTTTGGTGTGCCGTTAACAATTGATTAAAACTGAAAGCACAACTAGTTAATTTTAGGTGTAAAAAGGTTGCCATACATTATACAATCTGATTGTACAATCACCTTTAGATTTCCCAAATTCAGTTGCTCGGTATCCAATCAAGTAGGCTGCATGTGGCCTGAGCCCGTATGAAGGGACACTGGGGTAGTTAGGTAAATGCTCCTGGGGAGAGATCCTGGGGATGCTGTGTAGAAAAAAAAAAAGGTTGATGGGTGAAGGGAGTGTACTAATGACCTCAGTGCAGGATGTGCTTGCTAATGAGATCACCTGGTAATCTGTTTCCAGAGTCCTACTGGCTCCTTTGTCTATATTCCAGGAATTGAAAAAGCTTTCTAAGAACTTTACTAAGGGTAGGGCCTTGTTCTACAGATCAAAAAGAGCTGGAATATTTTTGCAACTGAGGTACATTAATGGTATATTGGTGCATAGGGGAGATGGACTTTATAGAAAAAAAGTGAACTTCGCCTTTAAACCCCATTGAAAATCTGTGGAATGACTTGAAGACTGCAGTCCAGAAACTGTCACCATCAAATTTAACTTGAGCAGTTCTGTAAAAAAGTGTGGGCAAATATTGCAAAGTCTAGATGTACAAAGTTAGTAGAGACATATCCCAACAGACTAAAGGCTGGAATTAAAGGAAAAAGGTGATTCAACAAAATTACTGACACATGGATGGATAAAAAACAAACTGTGCGTCTTCATTTCAGGCTGCAAAGCAACAAAATGTGATTATTTTAAATAAGGGGGCTGATTCTTATCCCTACCCACTGTATATACCTATATACTTTTCTACAGAATAAATAATATACACCAATTTGGATTTTTGTTTTCACCAAAGAAATGTAGCAGAATACATTTTGGCCAAAATTTATGAAGAAATTAGACTTTTTGAATATTTTATTGGATATGTTTAATAACAGAAAATATCTTATTGTTCAAAATGTTCAGTCTTTTTTCATTTATATAATAAAAATATAACCCCAGTGGTGATCAAATACCACCAAAAGAAAGCTCTATTTGTGTGGGAAAAAAAAGATGATAGCAATTTCATTTGTATACAGCGTTGCATGACTGTGCAATTGCCAGTTAAAGTAACAGTGCCGAATAGCAAAAAATGGGCCGGTCACGAAAATCTTTTGGAGTTGAAGTGGTTAAAGTGACTGTAAAGGCTATTTTTTTATTATTTTTGTAAAGATCCTCCTCTTCTCAGGTCCCCCAGCAGCTCCTGGCTCCTCAGTATGCCACCATAGGAAGCATTTTCCTTTTGTGGTACACCTGCAGGCTCAATCCCGCGCTGCCCTGCCTGTGGATGTAGAGACAGACAGCGAGGCTTGCCCTGGCCCCGCTCTCCCCATAGGCTGTGATTGACAGCAGCAGGGGCCAATAACTCCCTCTGAGCCAGAGAGAGAGAGAGACAGACAGACACACACACACACAGCAGGGGGGAGGGGAGATATAAGAGGTTTTTTGGGGGTATTTTTACCTCAATGCACAGAATGCATCAAGGCAAAAAAAAACCTTTAGCCTTTACAACCACTTTAAAGCTGAACTACAGGCAAACTGTAAACGGTATTTAACCACATCCCGACTGCCCTATAGCAGAAGTATGCTACAGGGTGGCAGGGATGCACAAAAGCACGTATCTATATGTGATTTTTTATTTCCGGATAGGGCCCCCTACCACCCACGCCGCTATTAGCTCCTTGGCAAATCAATCACCGGATTCCAGCCGACAATTCTTGTCTGGGAGTCGGTGATCGTCGGCGGAGCTGACAAGAGAGAGGTCTGTATGTAAATAATACAGATCTCTCCACTGCCAGCACGAACAGGCTGCTTTGTATTGCTCTGCACATCAGAGCAATACAAAGCAGCATGTTTCCCTAGTAAAACACACACACAGCACACTTAGTAAAACACACAGCTAACCCTTTGAACGCCCCAGATGTTAACCCCTTCCTGCCCAGTGCATTAGTAGTGTCAGTGCTTTTTATTAGCACTGATCACTGTATTAGTGTGAATGGGGATGTCAGTGGCAGGTAGTCCATTCCCCCCAGTGTCAGAATGCCTGCTGCAGTCCCGCAATAATTCGCTGATTGCCGCTATTGCTAGTTAAAAAAAAAAAAAGTTGCAGTACATATACCGCCATTTGTAGACACTATAGCTTTCACGTAAACCAACTAATTTACACATATTGGGATTATTTTTTTTTTTTTTTTTTTTTTTTTTAGCAAAGACGTGTAGCAGAATACATGTTTGTCTAAATGTATGACAAAATTTGAGTTAATTTTTTTTTATTGGACATGTTTAATAGCAGTCTAGAAATAGAGTCAAAAATATTGTTTTGTTTTTTTTTTTTCCAGAATTGTCGGTCTTTCTTTGTTTATAGTGCAAAAACGAAAAAAAAAAAAAAAAAAAAAAAAAAACACACACAGGTGATCAAATACTACTGAAATAAAGCTCTATTTGTGGGGAAAAAAAATTACTGCTCAATTGTCAGTTAAAGTGACACAGTGCCGTATTGCAAAAAATGGTCTGGTCGGAAGGGGGGGTAAATCCTCTGGAGAACAAGTGGTAAAAGAAATACACAATATTTGCATTTGTCCATCCAGCCCTGAGATTTACAATGTTCCACAGCCCTCTCTAGCAGGGACAGGACCCGATCCTTTTCTATTGAAGTTCTGGTTTTACCTACAGGTCTCATCTCAAACCCCCACTCTCTGACAATGAAAGGAGAAGGAGAAGACCGGTAAAACCGATTTTTCTGCCTTTTCCTCCTCAAGATACTTCCTACACTGCAGCACATTGGAATGGCTCCTGGTGTTGCTTCTCTCTTCTGTACAAGGGACTGAAAAAAGGCTTACACTAAGTCAAATTAAGATACTTAAACGGCTTGCATTTTAAAAATACAAATAATATATTAATTATTACACAGATGCATTAAAGTGTTACTAAACCCAGGACCCCACATTCACTATATCTGGTCTCCCACAGTACACAGAACATGGAAGTGTAATTATTTTAGTAAACTGCTAACTAAATACCTTTTCTTAGCAGTTAGAGCAGTCTTGTGACTTCCATCAGTGTCCAGTAGAGCAAAAGCTCGTAGGATTTATTTTCATTTTGCTCTAGGAGGATACAGAACCCCCCACCTCTGTTTGGACAGTGCCGATTGGCCCTGTGCTGATCACATGCACTCTCACAAAAAAAAAAACAAACAAGTAGTCAGGATCAACAGCCTTTTTGCACAGAGGATTAACCCCTTAGGTTCCACAGTGAGCATAACAAGCATGCCTTACTGCATGTACAGACTGATTTTATTGTCGTGGGTTTAAAAACACTTTAATTTTCGTCTTTTATATCTGCCTGGAGTTTAGCTTTAATTAAAAATGTAACACATCGGTTAACTCTGTCAACTCATGACAAATATGCACGTTACAATAAAACTAATCTGAAACATTTGTGTCTCCACTTTAATCTACCTGTGCTTTGAGTTTGAACGCTTCCACCTAGATCGGGACCTAGAGCGAGACCGTGAGCGTGATCTGGAGTGTTTCTGTGATGTCTTTTCAACTGGTTTGCCAGGATCTATTGTTCAGAATAAATACATATATAGAATGCAAAAAAAGAAAAAACAGCAAAGCACATTCATAACATTTCATCCTAAGAAAAAAAACAGTGATGCACATATATAACATTTCATCCTAAGAAGATAGAACATATACATTTAAAAGTAAATCTAATTAAAGATTCATTTCATTTTAAGCCTTTAATGCTGCGCCTTCTGTATCAAGTGAACACTGGCTGTCGCAGCAGTCACACGAGTGGGAGCCTGTCCCGGTGGTTACTGATCAGAAGCCATGACCATAAGCTGTCGGTGACTGCTTGGTCAGCGTGCTGGGAGCACACAACCCCTGATGCCGTAGACACATGTGCAGTGGCTAGGAGGTAAAGTCTGCCTTTCTTGCTGCCGTATATTTGCGCTGCACAACTGTTAAGAGGTTAAATGAAAAGCAGAATATGGTTATAAAATGTGGAGGTGCTGAAATCACTAAATATAATACTTCTGCATTTTTACTTCAACAAGAGGGCTGCAAATACATGTCCAGCACATGACACTCTGCATGTTGCTCGTCTCCCACCCGTTCCCGTCATTAGCACAGTTCATGCAGGATAGGGTAGTCTATATTGCATCATGGGAGACACTTTTTCTTGGGTAAAACCACTTATGGGAGATGAGTTTTATATTGGTTCTCAGTTATTTTTAAAATTCTGTCAGTACCTGAAAGACAGGTTCCTTAAAGTTCAAGTTCACCCTTTCAAGCAGAATTTCAGATTTCATAATAAACCGCCTTTCCTACTGTTTTCATCCCAACACATCCCTATGTACTTATCTCTCACTTACCTAGTCCACGGCTGCCTAAAATCTGCATGCTATATTTTAAGAATTTTAAAAGATGCATTCTAAACCCCTGGCTTCCTGTAGCATCATGTGGCATTCCATTAAAATACCAGTGCCTAAAGGGGAACTACATATCCCATCACTGCCCTACTGCAGCAGAGAATAGAGCATGTTTTAGCTCTCTGGACAAACCTCCCTGATTACAGCAACGTCTCCTATTTCCACCCACCTTTGTACCTCTCCCATTAGTGTAAGTACATGGGAGGAAGTGGGCCGAAACACTACTGTCATATTCCTTGTAATCCAGCCTGCTCAATGAGAGGGAGAGGGTGTAAACACACCGCTTTACTATCACTCTGATCCATCCAGATCAGTAAGACCACAGTAGAAGCAGGGACCAGCTAACTTGACACTGTACTGCGCCCAATGCAGGGAAGAGGGAGAAGGAGCAATGTACTAGAGCTGTGAGTGGGTTTGCCAAGAAGGAAAGCGGTGGGAGGGGCAGTGTGCTGGAACAGTGTGTGGATTTGCTGAGGATGACAGTGGCAGTGAACAATGTACTGAAAAGAGGGTGGAAACAATGTATTGAGTGGCAGGAAGGGAACAATATACGGGAGTGGTGCCAATGAGATGCCTAAAAACATTGTTTTGTACAAGTAAAAAACTGAGGATGCAATGAAGCCTTGTCCAGAGAATATGAAAAGTTTTTCCTTTCCTACAATACAGGTACATTGTTGATATACAGGTACATGCTAAAGTGCAAACTGTAAAAGATAAAAATGTAAAAAAAAAAAAAAAAAGATGAACTTAGTCTTTGAAACCGCAAGTGTTTCCTTGTCACATAGCATTTTTTCCCCACTTAAGGTTATGCCATCATTGCCAAATGAAAATCAGGGTGTATTCACACCTGCACTCCGATTAGATGCCAGAACCTTAGTGGGGATTACCATGATTATCTGCAAAAGGTAGCACCAATGAAAGCAATAAGGAATTGTCTGCTCCCACAGATAAACACAGCCACTCGCATGTAATCTCTCATGCAGCGATCACATGCAGGCCTAGTCTGCTTCGAGGGCTGATCACTCGCATGTGATCACTGCATGAGTGATTACATGTAATCGCAACAACTTGCATGTGATCGCTGCATGAGTGATTACATGTAATCGCGAACACTTGCATGTGATCGCTGCATGAGTGATTACATGCAAGTTGTCGTGATTAGCTGAGGAAGCCAGCAGCCACCTATTGCTTTCAATGGTGCTGTCTCTGTCAGCTAATTGCGGGAACCCCTTGCTACGGTTTTTGCACCTAAATCGCAGGTGTGAATGCACTCTAAAAAGTTGTTAGCATTTTCAATTTTTTTTTTTGGCAAGCTAAAAATGCAAAAAGAAGAAAAATCAGCTTGGTGTTATTATTTTTAAGAATTGTTGTTTGCTGCTTTTCAGTGCTACACAAAAGGTGTTATACCAACTGTGGGTGGATCAAAGCCAAGGACCAAGTTTGACAGCACACACTTACAATGAATTAGGATTCTAAAATAAAAAGTAGCATCTTTAACTAATATAGTGTATAGCATAATTCATTATTCAACATTGGAAAATATTCACCTAGGTGTGGAAGTAAAGAAACATACCTGGCTCAATGGCCTCAGAAATCAATGACTGTGCTTCTCGTACCCTCTTCATCACCTCTTCTAACTCCTTTGCAGCAGCTTGCGGCGTCAACTCAGGGGGTTTCACAATTGCATTGTTAGAATGATTGATTCTGAATGAAAAAAAAAAAATAATAGGATTTTTGTACTCACAGCAAATCCTTTTGTCCACTAAAGAACAAAAGTCTTAAATCTTTAGATTATACTGCCACCTACAGTAGAATTGGACACTGGCAAAAAAAAACCCAAAAAACCCACAGACCAGCCAAGGCTGCCATCTTTCGCCTCAAAAAGGTGAAGGTGACAAAAAACACAACCAGGTGGTGAGAGCAGAGAAAAGGCTGTTCCTAATAGGTTCAAATGGCAGGGTTTGAAGTACAGAGAGAACCAGATTCTGATTCCATAAAGTCAGAGGTGTAAACAGTGGGAGGTAAAAGGAAAACTCCCTAGCAAAGGTCTTAAAGAATGAGACTCCAACAGTCTGTGAAACAGACTGAAAATCTGAATCATGATGATCCAGAGAGCAAAACACTGATCCAGATGCAGCTGTAGGAAGGAGTTGACTCATCCAGTGAGAGTCCCATAGGGTGGAAGCTCCAGGACTCATACCAAGTGAAGTATATCTTCCAAAGAAAAAACAGCAGGGTGCAAGATTAGTGTATGGTGAAAAACAACACTAATTCCATTTCTCACTTACATCTGAAAGACCTGTAGACTGCGTTCCTGAGGCCCGGTCTCGTTTTTTTAAAAGGATACTTGAAAAAGGAGATTGGGCATCAGAAACGCGTTGCGGGGGCACACATCATGTCGGAAAGATGAATGATGTCTTGGTGGACCTAGAGTCTTAGACTTTATGGAAGCTAAGCTTGAATTTGGACTTGCAAGTTGCAGGAGTAAAGTAATGAAAAGGACATCAGTGTGTGGCCTGTTCATTTCTACTTGCATGGCATAGGGCCACCTACAGCACAGAGTAACTAGAAAGGCCCCAGATACTCAGAAAATCCAGCCACTGATTGCTTGTGAGGGCTCAGATGGCTGTAAGTGACCACATTTTAGTCGGACAACAGCAGCAGACAGCAGATTGGAGTTAAACTGACTCTTTGCAATGCAGGACCAGCAATGGGAAGATGCTTCCTCAGCACTGAATGATAAAAAGTGTGGACGTGAGTGACACTCCTCCACCCAGCAGATGATTTCCCTAATCAGCCACGTTTAGTGTTAAAGCATAAGTTCACCTTTGGGAACATGTTCCACCTGCTTTTAGGGTGGAACATGTAACATGTTTCCAATGCTGCAGCACCGCTTGCGGCCCCCCCCCCCCCTCCCTCTGACAGATAGCACAGGGTGAAATTTCCCCATACTATCTGTCAAATTTAAAAACAGTGCGGCCGTGCAGGGCTCTGCATACATGGCCGCGTCACTCACTCAGTGTTCTGTAAATGAGTGCCTACAAGTCCCGACAAGCCTTAGCGGCTGTCGGCTTGTAGTTTTCAATGAACTACCACGATGCTGTGAAACGCTGTGGTAATTCACTGAAGCTTCGAGGTCAGTAGACCTGCTTGACCGTACATCCCGTATGGCAAGCAGATATACGAACGTCTGCTGGAGACCTGAATGGCATCAGCGATCTACTGATCGCTGGTGCAATGCTTTCCAGGCTCCTTTGGACAAAAATAGTAAATGCACTTTTTTTTACCTGCAAAAAAAAAAATGTGCATTCATTATTTTTGTTCAAAAGGTGAACTTATATTTTAACCCTTCTGTGGTGGAAACAAGCAGACAGCAGGAATTTTCTCACTAAGCTTCTCACCAGCTTCTGATACTCCTACTCACAGTGACTCAACGGAGAAAGGGCAAGTGTTGAGGCAATGTTAACGACTCTGGGCCTGGAAAGTGCACAATGGCTAACTCGTTACCAGGATGGAGTCTCAAACATGCCTTGTGCAAAATCCAGTGCCTGATTATCACTTCCAGGCTAGGCCTCCAACATCTAGTTCAGCGGGGTCCAGAGAAACTCCAAAGCTAGGCAGAAGAAGGCCACGCTGGATTACTGCAATCATAGAGAACAGCTCCAGCAGTCATGTAGAGTCCCCACGTAAAAAAAAAAACAAAAAAAACTTGCTAGCAAAAACAGGTTGGCCTTAACAGCAGAACTGGGAAAAAAAGGGTAAAAGCCTCGTAGAACACTAGCAAAAAACTAGTCAAATCACGCTGGTAGTAGTAGGAGTTATCCTGGGCCAGCCGACAATTTTATTGTTTGCCAATGTTCAATCCACTTGTAGGTTGCAATATAACCCGAAGGTTTAAGAATTCCTGTGTTTCTTAACCTCTTCCTGACCGCCCTTTAGCAAAACTACTGCTACCGGGCAGCAGGGCTGCGCACAATCACGTATATATACGCGTGATTTTGTATTTCCAGGTGGGGAGGGGGGGTCCGCGCACACTGCCCTACCGCGCCGCCAATGGCGGCTACAGCTGTCGATCACTGGGTCCCGCCCGGAGATTCCCCACTAGCACTCGTTGATCGCCAAGGAACATTGACAGGGGAGAGTTCTGTATGTAAACAATACAGATTTCTCCCTTCAGCACCAGCATGCTGCTTTGTATTGCTCTGCAAAGCACATGGTAAAACACAGCACATAATGTGAAACATACACAGCACACGGTTAACCCTTTGATCGCCACAGATGTTGACCCCTTCCTGCCCAGTGTCAGTGCTTTTTATTAGCAGTGATCACTGTATTAATGTGACTGATGTCAGTGGCAGTTACCAGTGTCAGAATGCCTGCCGCAGTCCCACTAAAAGTCGCTGATCGCCGCCATTACTAGTATAAAAAAAATAAAATAAAATTCCAGCATATATACCATTTGTAAACGCTATAAAACATTCATGTAAACCAATTAATTTACACATATTGGGATTTGTTTTAGCAAAGACATAGCAGAATACATTTTGGCCTAAATTGTGCTTTTTTCCCCAAATTGTCGGCCTTTTTTTGTTTATAGCGCAAAAATATGGTGGTGATCAAATACCACCAATAGAAAGCTGTATTTGCTGGAAGTAAAAAAAAAAAAAAAAAAAAAAGGACAAATTACATTGGGTGCAGCATTGTATGACCGCAATTATCAGCGAAAGTATTGCCTAGTCAGGAGGGGGGGGGGGGGGGGGGGGTAAATGTCCTGGAAGGCAAGTGGATAATTATATATCTCATGAATATTAGCTGTGATGTTCAACCATATTATGTTTTGAGTGGAGAGGATTCAGATGTTGCTAATTTCCAGTCAATGAAAGAACCTGCTATACAGGACGCATGCACACAGCTGAAAAAGATGGCCACCCAGAACCTTTCTCGTCAAATTGGGCATATATCTGCCTCCACCCAGACCTACTCTGCCTGCAGCACCTCAGGAGAACCTGGGCTACCCGCAAGGATGCACCGCAGCCCGAAACACAAGCTCAAAAACCGGGCACAACCAAAGGCTTCCCCACTCCCGAGACCCAGCAAGATGGCACCCGACCCTCCTGAACCAGACGACACCAAGCGGTAGGCTTTGATGTAATCAGTACTTAAAAATGTGTTTTTAACTTATAACCTTAATGAATCATATCCTTTTTCCACCTGTTTGCTTATGATTGATTAAAACTAGACAAATATGTGTCCAATTATGCAGTTTTTATTTTTTTATGCACTTGATGGCATTACTGTGTAAATGCCAAGATTGTGATCCATGCTATGTGTCTGCTTTTAGGTAGACCTTTCAAGTGCCCATACAATCCCTAAAGCACTGTACAAATTATTATATAGGATTTGGAGTGCTAGCAGTTTGCGCAACGCTTTACAAAATGGAGGGAGGACAGTACAGTTACAATCCAATACAAGAGGTATCAGAAGGCCCTGCTCATTTGAGCTTACTATCAAGTAATTGAAAAGACAACTGTTGGGGATGAGTTGGAGGATGTAAAAAGTACAATCTATTGCTTAGAGATAAGGATTGGTCAAAAATCACTCAGTGGGTGGTATGTCAGCTGCCTCCTGCCTGATATCCTTGGTATTGGATGAAGGAGACGTGGAGAATAGCTAGCCAAAAAGCAGCTATGTATGCATTTTATGATAGACCAGTGGTGTCGGGTGTATCTGGACCACTGTGCTTGTCTGGCATTGCAGCTATTCCTGGTGGCAGAGCTGCAGTAGACTGCGGTCGCAACACCCTGAACTTGGAAGCTAAGTAGACTATCTGGGAATTCCAGAGTCTGAGACAGCTGTGTTTTGAGAAGTATTTCGAACAGAGGATGCTGGGGCAGTCTCTGAGGTGATTCGAGACACTCGACAGGTTTGCACGCCCAAAACCAAACGAGGACATGAGGTCTATCTCGGATCTCAAGGCGCTAGACATAAGTTTAGACATCCTTCTGTTTTGGATGGGATCGGCCGCAGATCCTGACTCCCGGGATGACAGCCTGCTGCAATTCCCCTCTGAACTGGTAAGCCCCCCAACAATGCCTCAATACCATGCTTCAAAAAGTTTGCTCCATAGTGCGAGAAGAGGTTACGGCAGACACCTGCAAACTTTCCTCCAATTTAGTGAAATGCTTTAAAAAATTAGGGCATCACACTAACCAGCTGAAGCAACGCATGGACTCGGCTATCACAGTATTAGAGGGTCACGAAAAGAAGGTGGATGATCTGCATACTAAACTGAACTGCACTGAGAGACAAACTGGAAGACGCAGAGAATAGGGCCGTATCCACGGCATTCCTTAAACCATTAGTGATTTGCAAGGCACTACTAACCACCTTCTTTCAGGAACCAGCTCTAGAGGTTCCCCTGGAAAGCTTAGAATTCGATCGTATCCATAGAGCCCTGGCACCCAAACCAACAAACAGATGGTCCCCCCAGGGATATCATTAAGTTCCACTATTACGGCAACAAAGAGAGGTTTTAAAGGTAGCTTGGGATCGCCAGGAACTTCCTTACCGGGGTAACTCCCTCCAAACATTCACTGATTTATCCCCCATCATGATTGCAAAATGCTGCAATCTGAGGCCCTATCTCCAAATCCTGCAATCCAACGGCATTAAATACCGATGGGGGTTCCCATTCAGGCTCTCCT